CCCCCGGATTGCTGCAGAGTTAAATGTTCGGCCGACTCCAACATTGCTTGTTGAGACTTAAGTATGTTTCCACCCTGAACTCTATCTATGGCAAATGAATTGTAAAGTGGGCCCACTGCTCTACTTATTGCTTCACGATTGAATTTATCACAATCAGCGTTGCTATAAAATAACCATGTCGCATCGCCTGGAACGACTAAGTTTTTTCCGATTTCTCTGCTTTTGAACATCTTAATATCTTCCTCATCAAGCATGCCTATGGACAGTCTGTTTAATGCAGTTGCAAACTTAGCGTCATCTTTTTGCCTCATGATTTCATTGAGCTCAAATAACCGAAATCTATCCCAGAGTGGATTCCCAATGATTGAACCTAAAATTTCCTTCGAATCCTCGAAAACATATTGTCCAAAAACTGGACTAAGCTGGTAGAAATCGCCAACGACCAACACACTAACCCCTCCGAACAGTTCGTCTATGCCTAAAATTTGCCTAAGCCTTTGATCAATTTGAGCGAACATTTTAAGGCTAACTAAGGAAATCTCGTCAATGATCAGAACCTTCAAAGCGGCAAACTTACACCTCAATGTATTGCATGTTCCATGATCAAGTGGAGACATTTTTCCTGCGTATTGATTTGGTGGGAGTCTAAAAGCAGAGTGCAAGGTCATGCCAGAAACATTAAATGCAGATTTCCCGGTCGCTGCTGCTACTAGCACAGGAATTACTTCACCACTTAATCCAGGTTCCTTGTCAAACATCCGTAATATACATTGAACAAGTGCATGAATTAATCTACTCTTTCCTACACCAGCCTGGCCAAGAATTACGTGAAAGTTTTACCCGAGCTTTCCCTTCAAGCTATGCGGAAGATTCAATAGATATTTCCTCTGACCTTCGTTCAAAGTTATCAGTAATTTGCGATAATCGTTTGTTGATATCAACTTTGGAGGACGAATAGACATAAATTTCGAAGTATTAGAATCGCCTAACTCTATACCAAAATCTTGATCTTCTGCAACGAAATCTATTGGAGTGTGGTCAAGCAAATCATTGTCAAACGTCTGTTCGTCTCCCTCTGCCATAGTGAGTCCTACCTCCAGTTCATCTTCTAGAAAACTTGGATCATACACCTTTCGCCTTTGTGAAATTACATCGAAGCGGTCTTGATACACACAAAAATGGTCAATATCAAGAACATCTTTGTTTTCATCCCGCCAAGGTACATACAACATAATTTGTTCCCTGTAAAAATTTTCCGGATCTTGATAAAGGCCGAATCTTCGATATCGAATAATTCGAGGAGTCGCTCTTTTAGTTATGTATCCACTATTGTCGCTCAAGGTTAAGACGGCTACCGGCTGATTATCTGATTTCCGGCGAGAACATGATAGTTTTGTAAAGTTGTAATTTGAGACATAATCAGCTAAGCAAAGATCATCTAGTCTACTTGGTCGCACGACATAACGTTCCAAAATACCTTTGAGTGCTATATCAGATGAATCGGCATCCATTTTCTCTAGTTCTTCGGCAGGTTTGACGAATATTACCCTGTCGTCAGGTCGATTTGTATTAATGAATGTGACATCACGGGAACTTTGTGTCATGGGAATTTTAAGTAAACAACAGGCGGCTTCTTGAGCGGATACTTCCGAAGACTTTGCAAAGGCGTTGGCAAACGAACTTAGTCGTTCTTTCAAACTATAATTCCCCTCCCGAATTTCTTTACTTGCTTGTCGTAAAAGTTTCGACACCCCTCGATCTGCCTTGCTTATGTAATTGACAATGTATGTAGCGCATGCATAAGGATCCAACACAAATTGAATGTCAATATTTGCCCGCCAGCATAAAAGTTTCCTATTGTAAGCATTTATATAAATTTCATGGGTCCCACGCCGAAGAAATACTTTAGGAATTTTAAGGCTGGAACGAATGGAGAGAATATAATTTGCTTCGTTTAGACCTAACTCTTGAAGAAAGGTGTCAAAGTTGATTTCCTCTGAATGTCGCCCAAATGTTGCAAGCTTTTCTTTAATGTTCGCAAATTGCTTTTTATACAACTTTGCTTGATCCCCAGCCATTGGAAGAAGTATTCTTGTGCTCCTCATGGGCGGAATGGGATAACCGAACCTACAACCTCGCCTCTTGTCTTCACAAGTATGTGAGTGATTATGGATTTGGTATGCCATGACTTCTTTCATATCGTCAGATTCGTCTTTCCGGCAGGTTATAAATTCGTCAATAAATTCACAGCAAGCTTGGTGTGTTAAAAAATTGTCTTTGTCAAATTTCGGAGCATCCTCAAACCAGTCCATTCTGTGAGTGTGGATCGACCCGCGTTGTTGCACTTCCTTCCTCTTAAAGAAGTCCTTGTGCGAGTAAGGGTAAAATATTCCACCAATTGGCTTGATCAGAAATTTGTCCATTGCCTTCTCTCGCCTGTCGTAAGCCATTACACATCCTATGGGGTCATTTCTTATGAGATCTGCTTTAGCATCGAATTTGAGATTGGAAACTTCTTCGTCGGTTAACGCATTCTCAGTTCAATATTTCCTATTGTGAAGCATCGAAATCAACTCTGGCCATTTCGTCTCTGCGGCAGATGTTGTAATGAAGAATGTGGGCAGGCCCAGCTGCCGAATCATAGCCATCACGTCCTTTTTCTTTTCTTCCAAATAGGACGGCGAGTTGACAATATTGGACAAAAGGCGATACCCGTCATCGTGTTGAACTAAGTTTTGAACACATTCGTTGTTAAGCATGTTCCCAGCAGTTATAATACCGCGCCTTTTCTTTTTTCGTAAACATATGTTTATGTTGCTAGCAATCCTGTGAGTTTGAACTAGACGGTAGCTGTATAATATTTTGTCTGCTCTTCTGCAACGTGGGTCAAATCTTCGAAGTTCCGACTTTGCAATATCAGCATAGGACAAGGTAGCATCTGGATTAAATTTTCTTTTGATTCCGCAATAAATAGAAGGGAAGGATAGCTCCTCAGCGTCCAAATCCATAAGCAATGAGAGCGGGCGCGTTCCTTCTCCAGGTGCTACTGCCATAATCAGTTGATCTTCTTGCATTAGAGTTTCCGTTAAAGGTGCATCGTTATCTTCAGTTTGGGGTTTGTCACTGATAGATAGTTCTTCAAGGCTCTCAATGTCTGTATTGCTCTCGGTAGCATCGTTAGGGTTTACTATATATTGTACGGTGTCGGTTGAAGAACAGTTTGCCCAGTCTGATGAAAGAAATACGTTTTCCTTTCTATACAACTCGGTACGCACTAGGTAATTGGCGGCATGAAAAACTTTATGTGGCCGTATAGTTTGAAACATGAAAGGATGTTTATAAGACATTCGGCGCTTTAATTGAACTTGAACGGTACTTGTCTCATCGAATCGGCGGGGTATCACTTTAGCAACAATATCCATGTCATTGGGAACATTGACCACTCCACCTCGGATCCCGTACTGACGGTCACTCCCTAAAGATCGTATCTGCGTGAACGGTAATCTTAATGCAACCAGGCGTTCCTCCAAAGTCGTCATGTTCTGTAGTTGATGTGGGATTGGGGGGAAATACAGTCCGTTTGACATACATAATCTTGGCACGTCACCGTTCTTCAGTGAGTCGTGACATGTGCCACATAGGAAATACTTCCCATCTACTTTCATGTGGGCGAACGGTTTTTTGGGATGAAGTTTGCGCACGGTTTCTGTTGTCGTTGCGTCCACAGAAGTTTTATACCAAAGTCCGCCGCATGAACTGTATATCCATTTAGGTTGATCAGCTATTTCAATTTGAAATGAGTTGAACAAAATATCATAATCATTTTTGGCATTTTGACGAGAAACCGCTTTCCTGATTGTATTCCGCTGTTGTTCCGTCTGCCTGTAAGTATCTTCTTCTCGGCGGGAAGCATGCTCCACTCGATTACGGTCTTTTTCCACTTCGCGATAAGACTCATTTTCTCGGCGGGAAACATGTTGCACCCGATCCCGCTCTTTTTCCACTTCGCGGTAAGACTCATTTTCTCGGCGGGAAACATGTTGCACCCGATCCCGCTCTTTTTCCACTTCGCGGTAGACTCATTTTCTCGGCGGGAAACATGTTCCACCCGATTCCGCTCTTTTTCCACTTCGCGATAAGTCTCATTTTCTCGACGGGAAGCATGGCTTATCCTGTCCCGCTCTTTTTCTTCTTCTCGGTAGATGTCAATCTTCCTAAGTTCAGCGTGAGCTGCGGCGTCCCTTTCTTGCTCTTGTTGTCGCATATCTGCATCCATCCTGTGTAATTTCTTCGAGATAGAGTTTTTTTCTGTTTCGGAACGACGGAACTCTTTCAGCGCATTCAAATTTGAAAGTGCCCTTGGACGACTAAAAAAATTAGTGTGAACGCCGAATAAACCAACACAACAATTAATAAATCGCATGGCAGAGACTGGGATAAAATTGAGATCCTCAAAATGCCCCAACTTTGAGCTCAAGAAGGAAATTCAATTCAGTGAACTTTCCAGCACACTCATTTCAGGAGAACATGTGAAATACTACACTGTTCTACGCACAAAACTATTTTCAATTAATTGTAGCGTTATTCGTGACAGTTTTATTTTAACCCGTAACTTACACCTTTTGCAAATTCAAGCGTTTTGTTCAGGCGAAAATGGAAAGTTATCCTTAATCGGAAAGTTGTTTGACAAATCTAGCGACGTGTTTATCGAACCCATAAATTCCTCATTAATTCACATCTTTAAGTTTGATAATTCTCATTTTGTGCCAAAGGAAGTTTTGTATTGCGAACCACTATACAAAGTTCAAACCTTTCCGAACTCGACAAAAGAAATCGCAGTTTTTCCCCTTCTTCATGGTGATGTTCTTCATAGTTGAGTTCACAGATAAGAACAAGAAGTATGTTGAAGTCGTGCGAGCCTCATGGTACACTATCCTCACAAAAACAGAAACCCCATTCAATTGATAAAGTCATCCAAAAATCCTGAGTCAACCTGGGCAATGTATCCTGCTCGGATTCTCCACGCTTATGGTAATTATAGTTTTGTAGCAATTAGGACCAATTATATAAGAGAAATGTTTAATTAAAATTGGTTTTTTACGTCAGTAACCTACGAAGAGGCCCGCAAACACATTTCAGCAGCGGAAGATAAGTCGGACCTTTCGTCCCCAGAGTCAGAAGATGTGAATCGAGGTCACGCGAAAAGAAGCCGTATTCGTCAAGAATTAAACAGAGGTATACCTCCATTGTATTATTGGTGTCTCGCTTATACTTAAATTATACTGTTAATTATATAATTTATATGAATTAAATATGTTGACAACATATTTAATTTATATTTAGCATATTTAGCAATGTGCATCTATTATCACAAGTTTCACAAACTCGTCGTCAAGGGAAATTTTCATTTCTCCTCTCATCTTCAGCTTATACGCATTTCGCCAACACCGAGAAGTTGCGACTATGTGGTCGGAACCAACGATTTTGAGTGACGTGAATAGCCACACTGTATTTTGTGTTTTGACAACAAATAAACCGTTCCAAACGAAATGTAGCAAAGGGATGAAGCAACACGGTCACGCGGTCATGGCATGTCAAAATGATGTCGATTTTTGAAATCCCCGCCCTAAGCTACGTCCAAAACTACCGAAACAAAAAAATTCGACATTTTCGACATGTGGCGTCGTCTACACTGTCAACGCGCACCGCACGTCGAAATGATGGTTTTTGTGGAAATGATGGCGATTTTTAAAATCCACTTCCAATAATACGTCTGGAACGGTTAAGACAAAAAATTCGACATCTTTGACCGTTGGCGTCCGTGGCTCCATGACCTACAACGCCCATGTTCGAACTCATACGTACTTAAAAAATTAGAAACACATTGGCGAAAATCCAATCTCCATATTCGAATTTGTTATAAAGTTTTTGAAATCCACTTCCAATAATACGTCTAGAGCGGTTAAGACAAAAAACTCGACATACAAGACATTCCCAGAAAGGAATTTCGCTTCGCTTCACCCCTTAATAGTGCTAGTATTTGTTGATTAATGTATTTTGGACTTTGAAAAGTCTGAAGTGTATTTCCGTTTTATATTTTGAAACCGTGTGTTTTGGACACCCCTGGAACCAAAATCCTGCTCTGGTACTACCCTGAAAATTATGCAGCTGCTAGAGCGTCAAATATGTGGGGTAGAACAGTGTCAATGTCTTACAATTTATTATAGGGCCCACAGCATAAGAACTGATTATTAATTACCCCTAGTAGGTCTAGTTAATTTATTTGTTAAGATAATAATAACGGTTGTTTCGCAAATGTGGGAAAGAAGATTTTCCTCGTCTATTAGCCCGAGGAAAAGCATAGCCTGCGAGCGCCGAAGGCGCGAGCGGCTAGGGGCGCCAAATTTTTTTTTGCCCCGGTAAGATTTTTGGCAAGCTCGGGCCCTGTATGTTGTACAGATTCTTCAGATGATGCAGGCTCCGAAGATGAAGTTAAGAAGTCTGCCCTTCCAGCCCTACCAAAGTTCAATAATTCTTTTCCGCAAGTTCCACCCCCGCCGTCTAATCAAATTTTGTCCGCCCCAGAATCAGATATTTCTGTGGAGTTACATAATACTGGTTTGGGTGAGTTCATCATAAATTATTGGTCTCATAATTATATAAATATACATATGTGCAAATGTTATAGATGCCGACGGCAACCAAACCTTTCAGCTCGTCGAAACAAGTTTATTTCAAGAACAAATTGAATATTCTGGTGCAGTAGCTTCATGTTAGTTTCCCATTAGAATTAGAATTATGGTTCCTACAAAATTTGATCGTGGGATTTCTAATTTGCAGCCTCGACCGGGCAGCAGAAATCTGCAACTATTACGCGCCCTGGGGTTCTTGGTCAAATTATCCAAAGCGAACCTACTAATTATTCATCAACTTTGTTGCACGGTGAGATATTCAACCCAATCTGCTTATAACATTTTACAAATTATTCTGCAAGACCCCCAGCCTAATCTTTTATATACTTCTGACCTTAACGCTATTTGACTATTCGAATAATGCCTTAAAATGCCTTATCCTCTTTTACAAACCAATCCTGCTGGGTTCCAAGGGCCGTCCTTCTGTTTATTAGTTAGCCTAAAGTACTGAATTCGTCTTTATGAGAGCGGTGGGTGTGCCGGAATGTTTCCACTATGCGGAATGATGGGCGGTGTGGCCACGGAGTTTAACGGGAACAAGAATTATTATTTATTGATTCGTAGCTGGAGCTCACCCGAGGACTAGTTCCTCAGACGAAGCTCAACCGTAGACTCCCCCCGATTCATACAATACATGTCTTTAAATACCAATTCCTAACATAAGTAAGTATTACAAGATAGACACAGGCTGTATTAAGTAACTAGAGTGATGCTCGGGTTTAAACCCGAGTACGTATTGCATTACACATCTTCCTTACTCTCTGCAATACCAATACTCAATTGAAATACCAATACTCAACTGCAATAACCATACTCAACTGCAATAACCATACTCAACTGGAGAAGGGAAGCCAACTAGTTAGAAGGGAAGCATACTAGCTAAAGGGAAGCATACTAGCTAAAGGGAAGCATACTAGCTAAAGGGAAGCATACTAGCTAAAGGGAAGCATACTAGCTAAAGGGAAGCAAATTACTGTATTCCCTGTTCATCGTATGTATTAACTAACTCCAATTCATCGTGTCTATTTGAAGCTCACATACAAAATAAATGACTACATTTATAATTCAAAATTATTTACGAATTATTACAAAGTATTGTTTTCGAACCTTGTGTAGTGAAGGACTTAATTCGTGAAGTATCAATGATCAAACATACCGTCAACAACATTGAGCGAAAATTGGATAATTTAATTTCTTCTGGGATTAATCAACATTCAACGGATGACGAACAGCAGCCAATTTTACGGCAACCGTTTGAATCACTTGAGGAATTTAAAGAATTCGACGCAGCTTTATGCAATGACGATAAAAGCTCATTAGTAAGCAAAAGGCTTCAAATTTTTAACCGTTATTTTAGGGAAACGTTATTGAAGTCTGGTCATCCTAGGCCAGTAAGTTTATTTATAAACTAAATAATTTTATTTTTTGTTTCGGTGCAGAAGCGATATTTCACGAAATGTGGCGGGGCGGATTGTGGGGATGGAATAAGAAGGATGCTGAAGAAAATAATGATTGACGATGTGGCTAAATTGATTAGTATGAAAGGCCAAAAGGGGAATTTTAATTTTTCAAGCACCTCCACGTGCCCAGTCCTGATTGGTGAGCATTGACTTTTACAGCAAATACCCATTAATTGTTTCGATTTCGAAATATTCATTAATATAATTTGGTGGTCAGGCGCTGCCCTTGCTTCAAAGCAATTTTCGACGACGGAGGCAGAAGCTGAAAAGGCAATTTCATCCTGGTTTCAACATGCCACTGACCGACTTAAGAAGAATGAAGCCTCAAAAAAGCCTAAGCACTAATTTGTAGCAACAATTCTTAATTGAAATATTTTTTTGAATAATTCTTGTAGTTTACCATCACATTTGTTTATGAAATTAATTATTAAATGAAGTAATAAATCAAAAATACTTATCCTAATATTGTCGTTAGCACGTCCCTACATTATCTTCCAGTGATATTCATGTGACATCTGCATAACATCACCGAGCAAAGTCCCAAAGATATCCACGAGTGGGCTAAATAGCGTATCGCATGGATGTCGCGTATAAGACGTAATGAGGATGTGCTAGCGGGGCTAAATAGGAACAAGCTGAGGAGATCGGTGCGACTAAAAAGCGACAGTGGTGGACATTCTGGCGACATCAGAACGTCCCCAAAATTTCATCGCGAAGATATTATTACGACCTGATTAAGTTTCTGGGGTAAACTAATTTGCGCTATAAATCTCATTTTGCCCCGATCAAACCGCGACCACACCCCCTGGCGCCCAGGGGGTGTGGTCCAAAAGTTTACGGGATCCTCCCCCAGAGGTCATATGTATGATGCCGCAAACTGATTTCGATTATCTTAATGCGTTCTCGAGTTATAGTGTTCACGGACAGACAGACGGACGGACGGACAAACTAACTAACCGATCGCATAAAGTAGCTTGCGCTACTTAATAATGATAGACATATTTAGAAAGTTTTGGGGAATTTTTACATTTTTCTCCTAAAATTCTCAGCGGTTGCGACCGTTGCTGGATGGGGCGCCCTTGTTGAGGGTGGGTCATGTTAGGTTAAACCGAAGGATTAAGGGTTTAACCTAACCTAAGGGTTTAAGTACCTGGGTAAGGTATCAAATTTAGGGGGGTAACATGGTCCAAGGATAACAATATTGGCTTTTTTAACGCTTTAACGTTATTCCACTGACTATAAACTATTCGTGTCAACCTACCCCAAAGCTTCTGAATGGCACTGGTGTCAAGTATTTTCGACGGCGAATACCCTCGGACAACAGTCCAAGGGTATTGTATCTACAGTACCCTACATTACTCCGCGAAGCCTGCACTAGGCTTTGTCTGGCTGGAGAATTCTACCCTGCCTACAGATCTTGGTTCCATTGAGGAACAAATTGTTTTGGAGTATATCCTAGTATTACCCTGTGTCCACGCGAGTAATAATTTCGGCAGGAAGACTGGTCCCAAGGCCTCCCAGATCCAGGCCCCGATTTTGGGGAGGGCAAGCGGGGCAATTGCCCGGGGCGCTAGATCCCAGGGGGGCGCCGGTAGGCGCCCGAGTTTACACTAGATAAAATTGAATTTTCCAATGCTACATAAAGTTTATATTAAAAGTAAATATTAGATACTAAATATAAAGTTAAAGTAAAGATATGGCTTATTTAATGTAATTTAAGTTTTTCAGCTTATGCATATTAACAATAACTCAATAATTTAACCCGGAATCTGTTAAGACGGAACGCAATTTGATTTGGATAAGGCTATTAGTGTTTAAGGAGCTAATTTTTCTGAGACCGACGGCAGCATTTTCGCGTTTATACTCTGTCCCCCTCGCTGAATTTAAGGAGCTCAAAGTCGGAAAATAATCCAGTCTGCGATTTTTGGCACACAGAGAGATCGATATTTTTAAAGGCGGTTTTCACCAAAAATTTCCTAATTTTGTATCCCGCAACCGTTTCCGAGCATTCTCTTGAACGCACTTCAGGACCTGAGGATAAAGGTAGGGAAATGTCAAGTCTCACATAACCCCACAATATCCGCCAGATATTGATGAGCAATTTAGCGTATTACTCATGGGGAGACTTGGTGCTTCTTTGCCAATTGATTTTAGGTCGACGGATTTTTTTTTTAATTGCCACGGTTCACTTTTCTGACACACGTAGCTTTTCGAAACTTGCGGGGCATGGTCGTTAAGCGAGACTTGACGTCATAGTTCTATCGTCTGGTCACAAAACTGGTGACTTTTCGAATCTAATTATTTATTCTGGTTACGTAGCTTATAGAAAGTGCAATTAATTGACTTTTTATGTCCAATAAATTTGTGGGGGTCATTCCTGGTCCGCAAATAGCTTAAATTTCCTAAGTTGGGGTAGCGGGTTTACAACGCAGCTTGAACCTAAGTATTCGAAAAGTTTCGAATATTTGGAATTAGCGCCATTGTTACACGCTATATGGGGAAAAAGGTTACAAGGTTTATAATTTTGGCCAACCCTATAGAGTATTTTGTAATTCACTCAATTACTAGCAAACCCATTAGCCTAGAATGTAGTGTTGGTTTTCCAAAATATTTAAATGACGTGGGTATTCACGTCAACTTCGTAGATGTCGCTAACGTCGCTTTGCAACATATCCTCGCAAATTTGCGATGCTTACGAACAGTTGCAATCCAACAAACAATCAGATTGCTTTATTTTGTTACGAAATATGCGAAGTGAAGGGTATCTACTATAGTCGTAAACCATTTTTCGCAAACCTGTCGTCAAGTGAAGTTTCATTTCGTCTCTCATGTTCAGTTGATATACTTTCATGCAACATAAGTAGTTCACGACACACATTCCGCAAACACCGAATAGTTGGGAGGAGTGACGTGAATACCACACATTATTTTGTGTCTTGGCAATAAATATCTAATGCAAGTATTTTTTGATATTTTGGACTTTGAACCTAACAGCCTGAAGGATGTACATACATTTCTGTTTTGTATTTTGAAACCGTGTGCTTTGAACAACCCTGCAACCAAAATCTTGCTCTGGTCTTACCCTGCAAATTATGAACCTGCTAGCGCGTCAAATATGTGTAGAACAGTGTTTATGTCGTACAATTTATTCTTGGGCCCACGGCCTAAGAACCGATTGTTAATTACCCCAGTAATTACCCCTAATAATTACTAATTAGTTTAGCTCTTAAGATAATAATTACGGTTGTTTTGCAAAAGAAGATTTTCCTAATCTATTAGGCCGAGGAAAGGCGCACCCTGCGAGCGCCGAACGCGCGAGCGGCTAGGGGCGCCAAATTTCTTTGCCCCGGTAAGATTTTTGGCAAGATCGGGCCCTGCCCAGATCGTTACTGACCTACAGCCAAAGAATATGCATACCCAATAAAAATAATAATCGTATATTTCTATGCTGTTATGCATTCTGCATGTATTTAATGGGTTTAATTGCGCACACTAGTCTGCCTCTTCTAGAAAAAATCAGGCTCGTGTCTCAAATCATACCAATAATATTTGCATCTGTCAGGGCCATCGAGATTCCAATTTTGGCATCGGAGGGTAGGGCTATTCCACATTTCATTTTACTCAGGACATGCGATTTCTCGCAAAATCGGGTCTGGATCTTTTATGTGCATCAGTAAGAGTAGGTTGAGCAACGTTTTTATATAATGCAGGATATGCAAAATTCGTCAACACATTGAGAACCGTATCATGCACAAATTTTTGGCAAAAATTACTAGTGAGTTTTGTAATTCACAATTTTGCATGGCATGTTAGGTTAACTATTTGCGTTCAGTCTTGTTCCATAGTCACTTTCGGAACCTCTTGGCCAATTCGGGTTGCATAATGTCTCTCCCAATTCAATACTATGACGAATAAAAACCTTGGATTTTGAAATACAATTTGCGAGTCCTTTTTCATTTTTTCTAAGATCATTCATTAATCGAACCTAGGCAGATTAACTTTCATTTGGGCCTAAACTTCTCCCTTTATTGGTGTACAAAAGAGTTTTTACTCAGAACGGGACTATGACCAAAAATAAAATAAAATAGTGAAGTGGTCCTATCGTTTTTGGACACCCCATTTTCACACATTTCAATATATCGACGGAAGTTCATGATGGATTTAATCCAAACTTGGTGGGATAATGTAGGGTGACAATGTCCAGAAACCTGCCAAATATCAATTCATTCAAGATAACATGAGCAGAGAAACAGAAACAAAATCGCTTGGTCATATAATTGTTGGACGCACCCTACGTGAGCAAATTTTTCTCACGCCCCCTTCCACACCCACTGGGGCGTGGTTTCAAAATTCTATAAATTCTGTGGATATCCACTCGTGGAGCGGAGAAAAGTGATATATCACATGATATTGTTTTCGCTAAAATAGACAATTTCCTTAGAGCGACACCCACTGGGGGTGTGGTTACAAAACTTTAATGAATCTATCGAAATCCCCTCGCCGAGATGAGAAAAATGATATATCACATGACATGATTTGGTTAAGGTCGAAAATTCGCCGCGGGCCGCACCCACTGAGGGTGTGACATGCGACCATTTGAAAATTGCAGTGCCCAGGGTGTCGAGGCATTTTTTCGACATACAGTTCGATTTTTAGTCTTTGAAATTTAACGGTATTCATTAATTATATTTTACAATTTCTTTGAACTTGTGACCTTAATTTCGACGGGGTGTGGTCGAATTTAAAAAATGTGGAGATGTATATTTCGCGCATTGACCTAAGGTTTCCAAAACAGTCACAACTTGGGTCAACAATTTGAAAAGAAATCGGAATTTCAATTGTCAATGTTGTTAAGCACGACAAGATCGGCCATTAAGCCTCTCAGCAAGAAATGTCTTTAATTTTGATTCCTCTACCTGAGAGTGTGGTTTTTACACCCAAAATAAGTTCCTACACACCACAGTTTGCTGAGAAAGTCCAATGAGTGAGTATACTCAAAGCATACTTGAGTAAAAGTAATTTAACTTAAATTTGATTTTTTTAAATTTTAATGACTAGGTGGGTGTGGTTGGAATAAAGTTTGATGGTCGCAGATTGTCACAGCAGGGTATACTCAGCACACCATGGGCTCTTTAATGGCATTCGTTTTGAGTCCGCCATGCACGAAATTTTAGGAAGTTTTTAGAAAATGTATTCGCCCTATCTTCGTAATGTATTATGAAAAGTTTACCCAACTGGTACGCCTGAGTGGGTGTAACGTTTGGTTTTATATTTTGCATTGAGGACAGGTTGGTTCTTTACTACAAGTTGAAGTATGTGACTAGCCAATTCAAGATACGCCTTAATGGCCACATTTTTAGGCTCCTGGCCCATTGTGTGTTCTCAGAAGCATTGAACTGCTTACCTCAAAGGAGAACCCACCAAGTCAAAATAGGTTCACGGGAAGTGAAAATTTCTCAGCGAACTGTGAATTAGGAAAGACAACTTTTTAAGAAGAAGTTACGACCCAAGACCTGAGTTCACCAGGTGGCTGAGAAGCATAAAGAAATCGTCGCCGAACTTTCAAAAATATTTATGAAAATATGTAATTTGAAAGCTCGTAACCGTGATTTTGTTGTGTCGCTGGACGAGACACTATTTTGAAGAGAAAGCAGAACGAAGAGAAAACGGCCAATCAATGGTTTTTTTCAATGGTCATTGAAAAAAACCTCAAAGTTGGGCGCTCCAACCTAAGGAGAACTTTGGTTAAAAAAATCATGTTGGTGGGCCCAATAAGTGACCGTGCAGTCCTCCCACTTATTAAAGTTCTTCAAAAAGTTAAATGAACTATAGGTACTATGTTTACTTCGTGTTAAACCACTTTAGGACAAAACTGTACGGTAAGGATACGTCTAACACTGCGGGAAGTTACTTCCAGTGGGAAGGTCAAAGTGGGAGAATTGTATGCACATATTAAAAAATAGATGGACATCTTGTTTAGGATGTTTTTCCAGGCGAGAGGACAGTGAATTAGTAAAGTACAGGGTGTTTCAAAATGAGGTTACCTTTTATCGTTATGATTACAATAATCAACAAAATCTTAGTAGCAGTTTTACTAGAAGGTACAAAATTTGTTAACAAATTTTATTTTTGTCTAAAATAAAATTTCAGATAAATATTTGTTTCAATTACATTTTAAGTAACCATGAGGATAAAGGGTAACCACATTTTGAAACATGCTGTATACGCAAATTTATGCTGTGAAAGTTACTATACTATTTATTTTTTAGACAATTTTTTTAGAAGTACAGATAATAGAGAGAGTTAATGCAGAGCTGACATTATATAGATTTAAAATTAAATAAGTTTCTCATTATTTTTTATTGCATTTGGTGAACTCTAAATTTGGTAAACTCTTGGGGCACAAACACATCGATCTGGCTTCACTTCCGTGACACCGGGCGCCATGAATAAGGTCACAATTGGCCGCTTGATCACTGCAAGAGAGGCCAATCTCGGTTGGGAGACATCTGTCTGCTTCTCCAAGGTGTGGGACTTGGTAGAGCGGACGGCATTGACACGTCGGAAGGTCGGAAGGAATCGGAAGGTCCCCATCTTGTCCCGTGATGCATTCTGAGTATGGAATTCTGTCACACGTATTGCGCTGGGAGCATAGATCACCGACAATTCTGGGTGCTTGGATGCACGATCTAAGAAGAAATAAGTGGCTTGTACAGTAGGTTCCGTTTTTCCAATTTGAAACAGTTGGAAAAATTGTTTTCAGAGCAATACGAAAACAATCTTTCCCATTTCTACCAGTTTTTCCCACTGTTAGTTCCCTCGCGACATACTACTTCTACAATGACTGGTAACACAATAGTATAGAATGAATAGGTTACATACCTCCCATCCTCATGAGGGTACGAATCACTCGCACATGCGCACTGATGCGCTACGCCGCACACCGCCCCAGGAATATTGTCACATGGCGCTGCAATCGAGCATGGTTGGTCTAGTAGGACCGGTTTGGGGATGCATCTCTCCAAATCATGGCTGGGGTAATGTGGTGGATCATCAACGTGCATACTAATGCATTGACACGTATTACCGCTTTCAACGGTACATATCGCCCGCGAGGTCAAGCAACCCACGGTGACATTCTGGTAACCGCAACTCTCGCCAATTTTTGGGCGGGGGACGCAACCGTGGTACGTGAACTGCTGCGTGTTCCCGGGGCAGAAACACCTCTTGCAGGCGCAACCAATCCCGCCGCCAAATTCGTATTTGCAGTCCATCTGGTAGCCATTACTGAGTGGGCATGGAACCGTACTGTTGCACTGATCTCGTGCACCCAGAACGCCTTGGGTTACCGTGGCAACGGTGTAGAGGAAGAGGATGATGTGCTTCATTGTGTGGATGGCACACTGTCTGGGGTACGAGTGGTGACACTGGGTTTTATTCAGGTGGCTTTTATTGGGTGACACCACGCTATGGTCTGTCTCGAGAGAACTTTGGAGTGATTTGGAATGACGTTGCTTGTTACACTGAAACGATTATCATGTTGACGATAACAGCTGAATCGCAGCAGAATTATACATTCGTGCTGTTAAATCTGCCAAAATACGTATATAATTCGCGAGTGCCTTAATATAGTGGACATCCTTAAACTATATACGCCAATTATTCCAATGAGAGATAAGTATGTTTTTTTTGTGGTTATCATTTAATTGGATTTCGCAATACTTGGTAAATAATTTATTGATTTTATTTGATATTGCTCAACCTAACGCAATCACACGCGGTATGATCATGCACCTGACGTCTGACGAAACATCATAAGTATAGTTCGCACTGTATGTAATAGCAAAAAATAAACAAGATATTCTACCAAACGACCTCTCTCCTTCATACGTAAGTAGTTTGCATTGATAGATATAAGCCAGCACGCCATAACGATTGCATGTGAAATTTGATCCTTTTTATTAGACACATCGGGCTGCCATGGAAGTATAACTTATTTTATAAGTCTAGGAAACGGGATTAATCGATTTATAATTATAATTATAAGTTACCTCATAATTTTCTACGTATTTTGTTTTTGCCATTAGCGTAACATTGCATCCTCATGACAACCCCTGACAACCACTTAAAAAATGTTTTTTTTATTTATTTCTAGGTTATCGGGCCTCAAGAATTTTATTTAAAACTTATTAATTATACGTCGTTCGTTATAAGTTAATTTATACCTTCATGACAGCTTCTCAGTATCTAATACGCGGATCATATCACCCTCATCCACCTGCCTGTCGACCTTGGCCAGATATTGATCAAAGCGACAAAGCTTGATTCTGAACCTTTATATTGGTAAGTCAGGATGACTACATACATATGTGTGTCTCAATTTAAGGTAAACAAGGATAATTTATTTAGTTTCTTTTGCAGAAAAATTCCCATATTATAAGTGAAAACAAGAAAGTTGCTCCATTTATTGTCGGCCTTGGATCTACATAGGTATGATTAAAAAATTGATTCGAATTTCGCCATTATAGATAGGGAGGCTGTTCTTTTGGCCCCAAATTCTTTGTAGTTCTAATTTAGAAATTTTTTCAAGTTTTCTAACAAACTTAATGTATACTTGATTTATTTAAATTAAATTAATTAATAAAATTATGGTGGAAAGCGGATCACGGAGAGGTGTAGGTTAGTGGTGAGAATGATTCGTTACGCGGGAAAGGGAATTAGATAAAAAATTAGATTTGATGATGTAGATTGTTGAAAGTTAAAACAAATTTTAAAGGACATTAAACTCCATTGTAATTAAAAATCTTCCAATTACATCAAAACCACAATGGCTCTCTCTAGATTTCCCACCTGCAGCTTCCATTCGCCGCTTACAACTTCAAATTCACCCGCCTCATTGGCCAAAAGGAAATGGTTGCGGTTGAGACAGAGACTGACTTCCTTGACCATGTTTGGCAAAATACTGTCCAGCCTTTCAAAATCTAGGAGGTTTTTGATGGGACGCCCCATCTGGCCTGCGTTAGGTGGTGAGACAAACCATAGGACAGAATGCTCCGCCTCTCTCGCTCCAATGTTACGGACGGAGAGGTTGATAACCAGAGCGCAATCTTGATTTAGGGAAATTTGCGAAATTTTGAGGGCTGGGGGGTTTAAAATTGTGTACTCGAATGAGGTGTAGGATAACCCGAATCCGAAGGGATATACGGGCTGACCAGTGTAGAAACGGTAGGTTCTACCTAGCGAGCCGGAATGAGGCCGCATGTTCATATCATACTTTTCAAATTGGTTGATGACCTCGTTGGAGTAAAAGGTTTGACCTAAACGGCCGGAAGGGTTATATTCTCCGAAGATCACCTCAGCGATTGCCTCACCACCCGACTGGCCAAGGTAGCCTGCCCAGATAATAGCGCCAACTTTAGGATTGTCCTTCCACTCGGATAGGTCGACCACACCTCCGGAGACCACGACGAGAACGACGGGTTCCGTAGAGGCGTCGAGGACTACGCGGATGAGGTCCGATTGTAAGCCAGGGAGGGTGAGGTTGGGGCGGTCGTGTTCCTCGTACTCGACACCGCCATGGCTGGCAGAGATGCCGACGAAGATTATGACGGGTAGGGAAACTCGGGCGAGCGCTGCGGCCTCTTCTAAGCGCGGATTGGCGAAGGACGTAAGATCGCAGCCGAACTCGTGTTGCACGGATGGGACTCGGAGGCGGATTTGTTCGAGGGGCGTGCTGATGGAGGATGGGACGCCATAATAGTTGGCGAGAAAGGCCATGGAAGCGTTCAAGTGGGGGCCGACTAGTGCCATAGTGGCCTGTTTATGGGATAGGGTCGCGGGGTCAAGGGGTAGTAAAGGTAGAGAAGCTTTTCCAGTAGGGGAGTTTTTTAGAAGGACAATACTTTGTCGTGCGGCGGTTAATGATAGGGTGCGGTGAGGGGCGCTATCGACAATTTCGGGAAGGATGTCAGTAAAGGGGCGGGTAGCGTTGGGTTCGAAGTAGCCGAGGCGCATGAGGACTCTGAACCCGTGTTCGAGAGCAATGTCAAGGTTGCCTTGGTTGATTAAATCTTCATTTAGTGCGTCTTGGAGGTAGCGGGTGTAGTAGCTGCCGCCTCCCACGAAGCATTCGACGTCGACGCCAGCATCCAGCACAGCGGCGACGGATTGGGCGGGGAACTCGGTGTAGTTGTGGCGGCTGTAGACGTAGTCAACGGCGCCGCAGTCAGAAACGACGTAGCCGTCGAAGCCCCACAGGTCACGGAGGGTTCCGGTCAGCATTCCTTTGTCGGCACAGGCGGGGAAGCCATTGACGGCGTTGTAGGCACACATGACGCAGCTAACGGACGACTGCGGGATTGGTAAAGTGGCCAATATAAGATTTTTAGGTAAGTTAATTGTTGTTTATTTACCTCTTGGACGCAACTTTTGAAGACGGGCAAGTAAGTGTCCGCCATGTCTTGCTGATTGACCATGGCGTCGAAGGTAAACCTGTCGTTTTCGAGGCTGTGGGCGGAGAAGTGTTTACAGCAAGCGGAGTTCTTAAGGAATCCATTGGCCTGGTCACCCTGCAAACCACGGATCCAGCCCTTCGCAAACTCTATGCTTAGACGAGGATCTTCACCGGGAGTCTCGTGACCTCGACCCCATCTAGGATCGCGGAAGATGTTAATGTTCGGGGACCAGTAAGTCAGTCCGCCGTTTCCGACGTTGAAGAAGGCTCTAAAATATTGAATAGCGCGTAAAGAATGGCAGGAAAAAGGTAGGCGGCAATTAAATAATTAGAATTAGCGCCAGAATAAATTGAGCGTAGTGGTAACCTTGCTTCGTTCCCCGTCGCATTTCCCACCGCCAAGAAGAGATCCTTGTTAAAGGACGAGGCCAGATTGATCGGCTGGGGGAACATGGTCGCATACTCGGTCGGAGATCTGAAGCGTGCACCATACTCGGGACTTTGCGGCCCACCCCCGATTCCCTTAAGGCCTTCATTCCACCAATAGTAGTCATCAAGGTCGACGTTCTGAGATGCCCCCTGAGCATCGTGCACCATCCATCCAATCTTCTCTTCCAGGGTCAGTCGACTAATTAAATCGGCTATGCGGACTTCGATGGATAAAGACGGGTCACAAAATGGAAGCTGGACATTTCGAGGTTTGTCGCATTGGCTGGAGTACTGTAAAATTGAGAATAATTGATCGGTCAATAATTAATCAATAATTGTCTGACTTAAATAATTGCTCTCGACCCACCTGTTGACCTAGACAGGTGGTGAGTAATCCAAGAAACGGGATCAGGGTAATCCAAGACATGCTTGCATGGATAATCACAAATTCATGTAGTTTACAGTGGTGGCTACCCTACAACTGGAAGTATCTGGGTGAACAGGCCCAATTTAAGTGGGCTTAAATATGTCAATCTTATCATGGAGAGTTATCTTTTAATTAGTTTTTGTTTTTGCTACAACGGTACACAATATGGGGATGAATATTTGCAGTTAGATAATGGAAAGTGGAGCAAATAATTATAGTGTCGGTTGCAATTTTGCATTCGACCAGTGGATGCTTGGACAATGGAGAGATCAATCAAAGACTAATTATTTTGTTCAAATCCAATTATTTTTTTGGTGTGCACGAATGGAGTGCCGTGTAAATTGATTGTGGTAATTGGTATACTGGCTTTCAGAATTATGTATCAGTGTCGATCTCTGTGAAGATTGTGGCTTTGAATTTGAGACGTTCGACTCGAAATGACTTTAAATGCTTAAAGGCCTTAAATATTAGAATATCTTTATTTTTTATGCAAAAATATGTTCACAAAAATGTCCCTAGAATTTTGGCCAACCGGCGTGTCCTTTAAGAAGCTCGATTGAGGCAGCTATCTTGACTTCATTCTGTAACGAAATGACTTTTCTCTTCTTTTTGTACCGGATCTCAACTTAACACTCAAAGTCGTGAATGTGTGGTGTAGAAAGGACACTACATATTTGCAAAAAGGTTGGGTGTGTTGTGTGAGGTGCTGTTAACCTTGACAAGGTATGTTACTAATACTTTGTATAAGTATGAGCATTATTTGTTTTAGGTATATCTTATCTTTTCCCGACGAAGGCTGGAGAGAGGCATAATTCAACACACAAGGATCGTACGTATGAATATAAAACTGCGCATTCGCAAGTCAGGTGTGGACATACTTTTATTTGTGCATCTGCATGTTAAGTCTGGAAATGACTGAGGAGTTGGATGCTGATGTTATGCATGTATGTAGGTATGCAAGAGTACTCATACATATGCAGCATCATGGCCCCAATAATTGGTCTTATCAGGTATCATGTAAAGCCTGAAAATGAGGGTAGACTTGCATTCGAAAGCTCAATTATATGAATATATTTATGTAAAACAAAAATTTCTTCTTCATATTTCCACTAAATCTCTGTCACTCCGAATTATGAAATAACTTGATCGTTTGGAGGTGTATTAAATAGTAGAAATATTTTGAGACATGCGAGGTTATGAAGGAACGAATATGTAAAAAGGACCGTAAAGGGTGGATCTGCATTAATATGTTTATGCATTTTTATAAAGTTATGTATTACATACATTACGATACATATTTTTAAATGCCTTTTAAAAAACAATCTCTAATTTAAATCGAGCGCCGTAAGGCTTTCCTTGTTTTAAGAAATGTGCCTAACCCTGAAATATGACCGTTATTTTCTGAGAAACTTTCCTAAGACATCCCTTAATGATTCATAAAAGTAGAAACATTTTAATCTTGCAAAATACCAAAGTTCGATTAACATAGCTTGTTACTGTTTGCGTATTTCATATTAAAAAAACCAGTCATGGAATATATATTGATATAATTATATCCTAAAGGGTAGTTTAAAAGTCTCGCCATAATGGAAAATGTTTAAATAGAAAAAAAAACTCGTAAATTTCCACTACGTAGTTACCTAAATAAATTTATATTTCCGCCTTAACTTTATCTTAAATTTATCATTTTAAAAACCTTAATGTCTTAATCAGTTTTTATATTAGAGTTGAATAATAATAAAAACTTAAATTCAAACTTGAGATTTATGGGCTTTTCCCTTTGCAAAATTTTCAAATATAGCGAGACATTTAAACGAGTGGTTTAAGTCCACCCTGTACACAGTTCTCCCATACTTTGTGAGTGACATTAATGGGGCTATGCATTTGTAAAGCGAATTAACTCAACGTAATTGCGCATAAAACAGTGTTAAATTTATTGTACAATATTAGTAACATTGCTTTAATAATAATACATATTTATGAAGAATAAATGAATTATTATCTTGAATCAAGCTCTTTTTTTCGTGCCTTTCAAAGTATACGTATTCAGTATAAGGGACATATTGCATAAATAAGCGAGAGAAAGTAGTTGAACTACACTCTTAGAAAAATCAATACCAGATTAATACCAGGCAGTATTCATATGTGACTCTACCGTTTTAGTATTAATTTAATACTAACTGGTATTCTTGTGCATAAATACCGTGACGGTATAAAATTGTCATTTGCGGTATTGATTTTTTTTCATCGCGGTATTGATTTTTATCGTAGCGGTATTGAAACGTAATACCAATCAGTATAACTAATAATGCAAATAATACCATGTGGTAAAGAAATTCAAGGGTTTAATACAGCCTGGTATTGATTTTCACGTTATTTATTTCGTATCCAATTACAACTCAACAAATTATATCATACATACATATTTACAAAAAAAGAGGAAATACTGAGAACGATTCATTAACTTTTGAACGACTTCAATCTTAAGTAACTCCGAAAGGGGTCGGAGTTTCGGTTCCAAATTTTGAACATATTGACACTTGTCCATTGACGTGGAGTGAGCAAAAAATCAGCTCTCTAGTCTCAAAAATGGCCCCCCGACTGACCCCAGAGGAAGAGGGTGTCATAAAAACACTTTCCAAACTTGATTATTCGTATACAGCTGTAATCAAGTACTTCAAAAATCAAGGACGACAAGTTTCGAAAGGGATAATACATAATGTACTGAAAAATAAAGGTCATATACGAGAAGCTCGCAGTCAAGGACGATTGCCATCACCTCAAAGACGAAACAAAAAAGTGCTAACGCGGACTGTGCTTAAAAAAATTGACCTGCTGACCTCCAAGGACAATCCACTTCCCCAAAGAGAATTGTCACGTAGAGTCAAAGTGTCACAGGCTAGTGTGCATCGAGCAATTAAAATTTTAGGGAAGAGAAAACGAAACAAAATACGAGTTCATCAGCTGACAGAGAAACAGACAAAAAATCGTCGCCGGACCTGCAAAAACTTTTATGCTAATTATCTGATAAATAAAAATAGTGAGTATTTAGTGTCATTGGACGAAGCACTATTTTCTCTACAAGACACCAATGGTCAACGTAAAGTGTACTACACTACCAACGACGAAAAAAATTCCCGAAGGTTGGCCATTCCGCACGCAGAGAACTTTTGTAAGAAGTTCATGGTGGTTGGTGCATTATCTGGTCGTGGGACCCTCCCACTTATCAAAGTTCCTCAAAAAGTGAAGGTCACTGCTAAGTACTATATTGACTTCGTATTAAAACCACTTCTGGAGATCCACGTTCCAAAACTGTACGGTAAGGACACAAAGAAGGTGATAGTTCATCATGACGCCGCGTCCTCGCATACCGCACGTTTGACCCAAGACTACGCCAAGGATTTAAAAGCAAGACTCGGGATTACAATTATTCACAATAGGGAAATACCTATTAAATCCCCCGATGTAAGTCCGATGGATTTTTTTGGCTTTGGATATCTAAAAAGAAAAATATTTCTCCGTCGCCCTCGAACTTTTTTGGGAGTTTGGAAAGTTTTACAAGACGAGTGGTGCAAAGTTGACGTCGCCTTGGTCAAATCAGTGTACAATAGTTGGAATCTCCGATGCCGTCTTGTCGTCCAAGAAAAGGGCTCTCACATAGAACATGTCAGAGACCTGCACTCCAAGCCGTTCAAAACGTATTAAAGGTTTGAAGTCGTTCAAAAGTTAATGAATCGTTCTCAGTAATGCAAATAACAAAATTATAAAATTTCCTCACACAATAATATGGAAGAGTTAAGGTCACCGGATCTCGAACCACATGTAATTTCAAAAATAAGTCGTGTAAGTACACAATTCAAAACTGTGGGATTTGTTTTGCATGTTAATTTAATTAGTCAATTCGAAATTATCTTACGTAATGCAAATTCGACACGCGATGTCGCTAAAAATAAACGATTCAAATTAATGTTAAAAATGTAATATTGTTCATTTTTTTAAGATTTATAAATGCAAAAGCCCAATAATTACTTGATAAGACTTGCAATAATACATAGTCAAGGAAAAATACACTTACCCGCTGAAAAGGAAGTTCACAATTTCCGTTCCCTCAAGAAATTATCCATCAAATTAATTTAGAGGCGAGGAACTTACTCACACTGTCAACTGTAAAGAAAAAAAAACATTTATTTATAAACCGGAAGGCACAAAACGGAATAGAATGCATTTAGGCTTACCGTTAATATGGAAGCGTTAAAGTTGCCATCGGAATCAATTATTAATTTCCTCCTCACCTCAAAAAATTAATTAATTATAATTAATCCAACTAATTTCGAAGAACTTGTCAAAAGATGGACGATCTGCAAACTACAAGCAAATAGTTTGCAAATCCCGCGAACCTGTTTATACCAAACACAGTTGAGACTGGGCAACAGTGGTATAAAATCCATACCAAGCGGTGTTGATATTTCACCACCCCAGTATTACAAGTTAATACTCTCCATGTACAAACATATGGTAGTGATTTTCCCCAAAATTTTAATACCACATTGTGACCTATGATTGATACCACTGCGCTGGTATTGAAATTTTCGGAAAATCAATACCCAGTTTCTGAGAGTGTACATTTTTTCAACTACTTTCCAAAAGTAGTTGAATCTTAGCTCCAACTACTTTTTCCAAAAAAATTGTAGTCAACTACTAGTTAACTACATTTTGTAGTTAACAACACTGGGTTATATGTTCTTCATTAATTCCAGATTATATTCAGGCCCGGAATTTCCGAGGTAAATGATTATCTTTGTGCAGGAGGTATCGAAATTTATGTATTCACAATGTTGATAGATATCTAAAACAATTTTATTTCTTATACAAAATATACGCACGACTTTGATCATAAAATTTGATAAGATTTTAAGTGATTTAGGCGTAATTTTATAATCCCTACCCATACGTATATTTGAATATAACCTAATAAATATATACCTGTGTATGTTCAGATTCCTAATATGTAGGAATACTGTGTTGTATAACACAATTTGTATTATGTACAAATGTGGAGAAGCTGGATGCAATTTGAGTTGCATGGAA